GGTAATCCTGGAAATTGAAATGGGCTAAATGATCCAGTTGATCCAGGCCAGTTATACTTCAACTGGTCTAGCTGAGCCACTAGAACCATTTGCTTAACTTCCAACCAGTTGAACAGCAACAATACTTCAATACTGGTACGTCTGTATTTCCAATGTAAAGGCATTGGTAATAAGTAGACTTACATAATTTAATTAATCGAAAAAATTTCGTACACTTGTACTTTATTGAAATTATTTTAGTTCATAGTTAATGTTTCCCTTATTCATTTTTAACTAAATGTAATTTATACGAAGTAGCGAAATGTAAATGTAATTTATATTTGTACTATTTTCGAAATGAATTGCATATAACTAAATCATCAGTAATTAAGAAATATGCTGTAAATTCAGATAAATTGTTTAAAAAACATAGATCTGCACGCACCCCATTTTCAATATGCAAATTAACTGGTGTCAGCTGGTTCAACTCGAAATATGCCAACACTCAGTCATCAACCGGTGCAACTGGAAATATGCACACTCCAGTTATCAACTGGTGCAATGAAAATATGCCAACAGTCAGTTATCAACTGGTGAACATAGAAATATGCCAACAGTCACGGTATTATCACCACGGAACTTAAATGGTAACTGTGAAACCATCAAGACACCTAAGAATAACTCATTTTCACACCTGGAAAACACGGAATACCCAGCTTATATAGATAATCCGTTTGAGTCACGAGATCATCACCGCGGAACTGCTGGCAACGTTGACTACCATTTAAATAGGTGTTTTAAGACACCTAATCATGACTAATTATTCACACCTAAAAGTCACGTATGCCCAGCTTAGATTAATATTCCGTTTAAGTCACGAGATCATCACCGCGGAACTGCTGGCAACTTTGACTACCATTTAAATAGGTGTTTTAAGACACCTAATAATTACTAATTTTTCACACCTAAAAGTCACGTATGCCCAGCTTAGATTAATAATCCGTTTGACTCACGGGATCATCACCGCGGAACTTATGGCAACTTTGACTACCATTTAAATAGGTACTTTAAGACACCTAATCATGACTTATTTTTCACACCTAAAAGTCACGTATGCCCAGCTTAGATTAATTTTCCGTTTGAGTCACGAGATCATCACCGCGGAACTGCTGGCAACTTTGACTACCATTTAAATAGGTGTTTTAAGACACCTAATAATTACAAATTTTTCACACCTACATATCACGGATTCACAGCTTAGATTAGTAATCAGCTTGAGCCACGCGATCATAACCAAGAAATTTATGGTAACTTTGAAACCATTTAAAGAGGTGTGTAAGACACCTCCGAATTACTAATTTAATATAACCAGAGATTCACGGACAGAACAATAAGACGATTAGCCGTAACGTAACGTGATTATTACCATCAACCTTGGATAACCTGTGAAACCAATCGATTAAGGTGCTTACAAGACCAAATAATTACGTATTTATCGCCACCATCGGTTAACGGACAAAAAACTCGTTGCTTGGTCAAGTGGTTATTTGGTCATAAACACTTTATTTACAGAGGTAAGTGCAATCACGTTACTCCAGTCGCGTGATAAACTGGTGGTTTTTAGGTTAGATGAAAACGTGAACAGGAATACCTTTTTTGTTTAAATGAAGGCACGTGTCGATAACGTTTAAATCTAGTTCAAAAGGCACTATACTTTAAAATCACTTAAAATACACTCCCAAAAGAGGTTATTTTTTAGTGTTCTGTTTATTGGGATGGTTGGAATACTCCTGGACTTCTCCAAGGCCTTCGACACGATCAACCACGATATTTTGCTTCATAAACTTTCTCATTATGGTATACGTGGGAAGGCCTTGGAGTGGTTCAGGAGTTACCTTTCCGATAGGAAACAGTTTGTATTTCTGGATGGTCACACTTCTGAATTACGAAATATTAATTGTGGGGTTCCTCAAGGTAGTTTGCTGGGCCCGCTTTTGTTTATTATTTATATTAATGATTTTTATAGATCATCAGATATGGCGTCTTTTATATCATTTGCTGATGATACAAATTTGTTCTTTTCACATACAAATCCAAATACTCTTGTTGAAATTGTAAATTTTGAATTAGAAAAAATTATTCAATGAATCCGAGCTAATAGGCTGTCTTTAAATTTACAAAAGACTAAATATATTCTTTTTAGTAATTCAATAGATTCTTTGCCAACTGATTTAGTTTTTGATGACACTCATTTGGAAAAGGTTACACATTCTAAATTTCTAGGTGTAATAATTGATAATAAGCTTTCATGGAAAGTTCATGTCGATAACATTTCTAAAAAAAAATCGAGAAATATTGGTATATTTAATAGACTTAAAACACAACTCCCATCTTCAGCATTATTAACATTATATTCATCCTTAACATTACCTTATCTGAATTATGGCTTACTCGCATGGGGTAACGCTCATCAGAACATTTTAGACAAACTTTTATTGTTACAGAAGAGAGCAGTTAGAATTATTTCCCAGGCAGATTTTCGTGCACACACTAATCCGTTGTTTTATGATAATAATATTCTGAAAGTAAAAGATTTGTATTTGCTTCAATTAGGTCAATTTATGTATAAAAATACTAATGATTTGCTGCCAAAAAATTTTAAGACTATGTTTTTAAAAAATCGCTCTTTTCATCAACATTCAACTAGACAATCGGAAGAGTACCATTTGCCATTACTTCGAACTTCCTTCGCTAAAAACACTTTTATCTATGATGGCCCAAAATTGTGGAATTCCTTTACTGATTCCTTGAAAAATGCCCCTTCATTATATACATTTAAGAAAAGATTAAAAATATTTTTGTTCTTAAAATATAAAGTAAATTAGTTTGATTTACCCCCCCCCCCCTGACACCCACACACACACACTAATACTTACACATTATACACGATGCATCATTGTCTTGGTCATTTTGAGGAGAATACGCGCATACTTTCCCCTTATTTTCTCTTTAATAATTATATGCGCAGTTATCGATTTATCGATTTATACGGTCTTACTTTTTACTGATAATCTGATTTGTATTGACAATAGTATACGGAATGTAGAATAACTGATTTGTTGTTTTGGAAATGTTACGTCCACGTCTGTGCTGTATTTTCGTTTTTGTTTGTTATTGTATGTCTTTCTCCGTCTTACATTGTCTCTACTTGTTACTGTTCTGTCTTCGCGGGCTTGTCATTGTCTTTACTTTATTTTTTTATTTTTTATATTTTAAAAACAAAGAGCAAACTTTTATATTAATATATTTGTGTTTTTTGTTCTGTATAAGCTAATTTGTGTAATGCTACTTTGTTATTTTGAGGGACCCATAATCTACAAGTATCCACTTTTTAATGGGTCCCTCCATTTCCATAGAAAATATCAATTTTTTTTGTATTATGTTATTCAAATTATGTTTATATGCAGTTTAAGTATTTGTAAATGATATTATTCACATGTTATCTTGTTCAATTTTTTGTTTTGTTTTAATGAAATATTGTTCTGATTTCTGTGGAAATGAAAAATAAACTTGAATTGAATTGAATTGAATTGAATATTTTGAATTTTTAGCATATTTTTAAAATTGATTATTCAAATTCCATGAAACTTGTACCCAAGGGTTACCAAGTATCATAAATCACATGATACAAATTCCAGATCACAAAGTCAAAGTCTAAGGTCATTTTAGGTCAGTAGACTTGGATTTTCTTTTCACAACTTGATATGAGATTTAATAAATCAATTTTTGATTTATTTTTTTTTAATATTTCATGAAAGTTATCAATCTTGGTAAAAAAAATAGTAAATAATTTTCTGGATGATTCTTTGTAAATATTCACTTCAAAATGCTGATTATGTACAGAGGATTTCAATTTTGGGGGCCTGCTAATGGGCCACCCTGCCTATAAATAATGTCCCAACCTCAATTTTTCATCATGTCGAATTGCGTAATGCAGGCTAGACCGCCGAGAGCTTTTCCCTTGTTACTTTTTTGAGGCACTTCTTGATCAATTTTATGCATAGTTTTTTTAGGGCTTCAATATTACATCATATCACAAACACTGAACACATAGGGCCATGCATCTCAGATTGAACATTGTTAAACGATGCCTTTAAGGGGATTCATGCCCCCCCCCCCCCCAAATCAAATGGCCAAAAAGAATCTTTGAAAAACAAAGAACAGAAAAGGTAAGGGAAAAGAGGACCTCCTCCTGCACTACCCCCCTCCCCCTCCTACCCCCACTACCAGTGACTTTGTGAATTCACATTTCATTTTCCAAGCCAATCACGACGAGTTCTCCCTCCCTTCCCCATGATTCCAGTACCCCCTCAGTGCCCTGACTTGTGCTATGCCACTGCTGCCATTATCTTTTTACGCCCCCTCCTACTATTTAATGTTTTTTATTCGACATGAAATAAATAAGAAGAATTTGAGGAAAGTTTAAAGACACTGTAGCAAACCTCATTCATATTCTCTAATTTCAATTGTTTAGAACCTCTGTAGTGTGTGGACGAATGAAATTTTATCAACATCATTTTTAATTTTTTTTAAATTGAATACCACCAGTTCCATAAAATTAATTGTGTGCAGGACAAATAACAAATAAATTAACATGGAATGCTCTCATTATCTTGGAAAAATGATAATGAGAAGTTACAATGTAGGATTACATTTTACTTGGCCTGAACGGTATGTGTAGTACATGTACATGTACATAATACTAGCAGTCTTCAGCTGTTGTAACGGGAAGAAAATTGGGCATCATTTCATGAAACTGTCATTATGTACAAGTTCACTTACATCCCATTGACAATTTGAATTGTCGGTGAACTTGTAGTAAAGACAGTGTCGTGAAACACAGCCCAGATTCTAACAAAATCCAACGCATATTAACAATAAATATAATTATCATATCCTGGGTTTGAGGAGATCTTTTCTCATGTGATAACATGTTTCTCATTTTGTTGTTTTGTTTTCAGACGTCGTGGTGTGAACCATTGTTTGCATTGCGTCATTACATTCTTCTTTTTCCCGTGGGTATTCGTCTGGATCATCCTGGTGAGAAACATTCAGAAAAAAATATAATCATAATCATGATCATAATCATGGCCCAGTCTGAGAAATTTGGGATTGGTCTAAAACATGATAATATTGGATACTTTTATAGTGCTCATATCCAACACACTGAAGACTCGTTCAGATATGACGCGGCTAAACAGCTGGGTTATTTAAAAACATAATGACGTAAAATGTAACTCAGGCAACACCATACATTGTCTACCCAGACCAATTGATCTCATTGTGAACAGCGTCCATTTCTAGTAGGGTTTACAATGGCAGGGGAATAGTGCACATAGATATAGTGCATAGAGTACCCGGGCGTGCCTTAGTTCACAATGAATATATTAAAGTCCAAAGTCCTATTAGAGCATAACCCAACCTTTGTGACATTTTTTTAGAAATCATGGAAAGGGAACAAAGTGCTTATTGAAGCGTCAATAAATGCCCTCCTGCTTACGATCAACAATGTCTTTTCTTTGATTCGATATCTAGTGTATACACTTTTAGATATGATACATGTAGTCTAAATTAGTGCAGGAGACAGTACGTAGCCTGATATTCTTTGCATTATGCATTTGATATGTTTGCTCTTTCATAAAGTAATAAAATGTACATAAATATTTATGAGACTATGTTTTAATGGGGCTCTTCTTGAAATAATAACTTTGAATTATACATTTCTCTCATGATAATCAATGGACGTCTACGTGTGGATTGGAGGATAGACTGCATAGAGTTGACACTGCATTATTGTGTAGTAATCTGATTATGATGGGTCTTGTATAAAAAGAAATGTTTAAAACTTATTAAAACAAGTCTAAGTCAAATATTATTCAGATTTAGGCCACCTTTGTTTATTTTTTTTCTATGGATAAGGCCTTACCAGTAGTTAAGTTTCATGCTGTAAAGTATATGTTTCATGTTAAAAAGAAACCCTAAAATCTTTGATCATACAGGTTGTATAGTTCTGGTAGTTTTTTAGAATCCAATAAAGACTAATAGATGTTTTCACACAGACTTGTTAATTAGTTATCCTTTCATTTACCGGTACTCATATATTATTGTGTAATTAGAATATGACAGTTCTAAAGTTCTCTAAATGTTTGCCAAATGGAAAGGAAAATAAAGATTTATTCAAACTGAATATATTTACAATATTCATTCCACAGTGCATCACAGAGGGTTGCTGAGACAAAGAGAGGAGACACCACCTGATCATCTTTCACCTTTCACCTTTGAACTTTGACCTCTTTTGCCTGCATGCATCCAGCACTCTCTTTTCTTCCAAGTTTGGTATGTGCTTTCAATCACCCTAATGGTGTCTTGGAAAGAATAAATAGAAAAATGTCTTTTTGACTGGTTATAATTTCTTCCTATTTCTTATTTTCTTTAGTGCATACTGTTAAACACTGTATCATTACGACATTAGAGGTCTGTAAATAATAAATATACTGGAATTCATGTGTAATTGAAATGGCTATAATTTTTTAATTTTTGTTAGCCTTATAAAAACCTACATGTTATTCAACAACTTATATCCTCTTTTCTATTAGAACTCCCCATCAGCATTGAACTTGGCTCTGTATATACTAGAGTTCATGTTTAATTGTAATGGCAATCTCTTACTAAAAACCTACATGTTATTCAACAACTCATATCCCCTTTTTTTATCAGAACTCCCCATCACCATTAAATATGACTCATTGGCCAAACTACTTTGCCCGTTTTATTGTTTAGCACAATTTCCTTAGAATATATGTACACAGACTGTACATTTTAGTAAGTGTACAAATTATGCTTCTATATTTGGTGATTGTATGCTTTCACTTTCAGTTTCAATTACGTTAGTACTTAGCATGTGGGTGGGATGTGTCAGCATGTATAACATATCCCTCCTCATGATGTTAGTGTAAATTGGAATTTAATACTGCCCTTGCCATTTGCTGCCAAAAGAAGAACACTTTACTAACTAGATGCTGGTATGAAACATATCAATTTGGGTCTCGTGTGGTATATAGATTATACATGTAAATAAAGCACAATTTTACGTACATGTATCTGCTTATTAGAATTTATTATTTTCAGAATAATTGCCTTTGTCTTGTGCAAAAATATGCCTGGTACATTGGCCAAAAGAGTCAAGATTATCAGTACCATCTTTATCCATGTTTGTTGCATTTGATGCTAGAGAAAGGTAAAAAGGACATCCTTAAATTGGCAAAATGTGGAAATCTTCAAAAGGCTTTATCCATACAATACACATTGTTACTTTTAAAATTATGAAATAGCTTTATATGAGAAAAAGGTAGCAATAAAAGAAAAATAGAATTGTTGCCAATTTGAAGACTGAGTAAAGCTGAACCCATACTATTTTTTCTGAATGTGCAAACTAAATATAAACATTTAAGGCTGAAATCCTATGAAGATGTTACAAATAACATCAAGGGAATGCTGACTCTATATTAAATACTTTTTTAGTACTATTATTGTATTTTTATTAAAATGACCCTTCGTCCCCCCCCCCCCATGCCTACAATGTAGGCTGTACTAGCATATGAATTGAATTAAATTTCAAAATGCAATTTATTATATGAGGCTTATAATTTGAACCAAAAATGAGGTATTTCAGCCGAGATGAGATTTTTATCAAACGCCTCAATGGGTGATAAAAGAACGAAGAAGAAGATGTGCTCTATCTAGCCGTACACATGTTCATCTAAGTTTTTTGAAAACTTGTTTCTTGGGAATATAGAAAAATGGAAATCTTATTTGAAAATATCTTATATTTCTTTACCGTCCACCACTATTCACCACCATCTAGCATCGCTTTTTATCACATTTAAAGATGGTGTCATTGACAAAGTGTTCAAACTGCCATGATATTAATCTTATATTGAAAGCCACATGGATAGTATTTGTATAAAGTGGATTGATCTTTGGGGCTTCTAGGCTGAAATTGAATATTAACAAAAAATTGAAAATATTTTGTTTACCCCATTTATTGCAAATGTTCAATCATACATTCAAGCATTCAGCATTACGAAACATTAACAAGAAAATTAAACTGAAGCCTGTCAAGAAACGGCATCAAACTTTTAATAATTTTGAAATATGATATTGAATATTGAAGTGATTTTGAAATAGGGATTTATTAAATTTGCTTGATTTTAAGAGACCTCAGTTAGGCAAGATCACTTTATTGTAGGATATTAATGGTATTCAGTACATGTGTGAGGTTGTAAATTTATTTGGTTGTATTGTCACAAAATGGGTTCAGGTCAAATATACATTTACATGTAGGTGGAGTCGTTTGGGACCAAAGTCTAATCTTCTAGTTTATAAAGAAGTATTGTTATATCTTTACGACTAAACATTATCTGGCAATTCTGTAGTCACGTATTTTTTTAGCCTTTTTGTTATTTGCTACTGATATACAGCTCATGTATTTGTTGTGTATTAATTTTGCCTTCTATGTTTCTTTGTTTTTACTGTAATGCAATGTGAACAATTTAGAATTGTCACAACGGAGACAGTACTATCCTATCAATTTAAAACAATCATGGCCCAAAACAATCTTATTATTGATACAAAATCATGTATTTTATGTAATCATTTTCAAAATCTGATAAATATTTTGCCCTCTATGTCATGAAAATATCACCTTGCCAGTGAGCATGCTTTGAGGAATTATGCCCTTCATCATAATAATAATAATAATAATAATAATGTGTTTTCTTTATGTTTAAGTTTAGGAATGTGTACGATATCTGTGATATAAGAGAGCTGAGACCCAAGAGTACATGCCAATAGTTATGCAATATATTACCATGTAAAGAGAGCACAATGTGTCTGCACAATGAGGGCTTTGAAATTGTACTAAGAGTTCTGATTTGTACTTGTAGTTGCATCCTTTTCTATATTCTTATTTCTATTGTTTCGACTTAGTATAGATGAATGATTAAAACGATATGTTCCTCTCATGTATTTCACTACTTCGAGTAGAACCTACATACTTTACCTGTCTGTGTGTAAGTCTTTTCATAAACTGAATTTGGTAAACTACATGTATACTTGATTACAGTTCGTACTGACTGAGAAACATAGACAATTATTTTTTTAAAGACAGCTTTAGCAAGGGTCCAAAAAAAAAAGGATAGTAAACTAGAATATGGAATTAATGATGTTAACTTTGTCGAATGTATCATTTTAAATTGCATGTACATTTAAAGGAATTTCTTAAAATTTGTCAGAGAGTTAAGTCATGACAAGTAGGCTGTTTTTCTCTTAAATTTCTTCTTGATAATTATGTGAATATAATATAATATTTGTGTAGTGTAAGTCGTGTGTTAGTAATCTTTAAACAATCATTGTACTTTTGAATTACATGTACAAGGGAATCACCCCAAACTCAATAAAATAATGATATTGTCATTCTGTGCCTTATGGAAGGCGATATTATAGCATTCAAACTGAAGTCTTTTGTTTGGTTTGCTTTCAGTAACAGACATATAGAAATGTCTTGTAAGCTGTTTTCTTGTAGGTTTACATAACACTTAAAATGTGTATGAATTGTGCAAGTTTTAATCAGCGTCTTGAACATATTTTACTTTTGTATTGATTGATTTCATTATTAGCTGTATGATTTACCTAATAGGTCACATGATAAACCTTTATTTACCCCATGCTATCATGCATTTATTTCTGTACTAAATAGACCAACAGCCCATGAGAAAGGTAACACTTTTTAAAAAGTTGTATGAAGGTCTTTATTACTAACAATATCATTTTGTCTGTGTTGGCCTCATGGACTGTCCGACCCAGAGGCTATACAGGTATCTGTACTAAATTCACCAGGGATTGATTTTAGTATGGTCATAAGGGTACGGGCATATTTTTGAATGGGGATAGATGTCTTTTGCCCATTACCAATACTCTACAGTTTCTTTAACAAATTTAGTGAAATTACTTAAAAATTGCATTTCTGGGCACCACCTCTATCAAGATGAGACTTTTTTTAGCATCTCGGTGCCCAAATATTAAGATATTCAACACCTTGCTGCCTGAATATGAGGTGGTGCTTGCCAAAAATAATTATTGGATTTTGAAAATCCTAGGGGAGAGGAGGGGTCTACAGCCCCCCCCCCCTCCCAACCTCCTATGCCTACACGTATGAGTATACTTTTGGTCTCCTGTGCCATTCCCCTCTGTAATTGTACATTTTGTCTGCATTCCAATGAGCATTTGTTTGTAATTGCATTTCATCAACTCAAGAATAATTTGTATATTCGAAAAATTTCGAATCATGTAGTACAGTAGTACAAACAAGTTTTGTCAAACAACACAATACACATGTTCTGATGCAATTTATATTTTTTCAATAGTGGTAATAGGGGTGTGAGAGTTTTCTTTGAATTAATTATGGTGTAAGAATTCCTTGATTTATATGTACTATTATGTTATTCAAGATGTGAGCACTTGCTGTGTTGTAGGACAATTGTCAGGATATTAATGAATGAAGTTGCATTAACGCAACTCTTTGAAATAAATATATTTCCACTACTCTGAATATGTGTCTCAAATCGTGTTTTTCTTCAGATGTTTTTGCACATTGAAATGTAATCCAATTAACAATTTCAATACGATTACCATAAGGCAAATGGAGTAAATGCTAGATATGTACCTCCCAATTCATTGCATCATGTATACCTTTATATCAATTGCAATCAGATGCAGATCAGTCAGAGATGTATGAAACAGAATTAAATATTTCACAATCCAACCCAGTTGTAGAGCAAAGCCCAACCTAGTCTAGTTCTGGACTCTTTTGTATTGATTCTTCTATTCGCCGACAATACGCGTTAAGCCGAGTGATGGCGCGATCCCGAGAACTGATAAAAAGAGTCCAGGGTCCCGTTTCACAAAGCCTTTTTTCAATGACAAATGACAAAAATCAGTGACAAATTTGCCGATAACCAAGAAGCAAGGATATCACTAGCTTATTAAAAAACTGGCATTTGTCACTGATGACAAGTTTTGTGAAATGGGGCCCTGAACTAGACTAAGCTAGCCGAACCCAGCGTTGAATCTTTCAGTTTTCCTATATTGCTTTGTCGCCCTCTATTGCTGATAAACTCGTTTACAATAAGATTGATAAAGAAGGTCAATCATCGCATTAATAAAACATTTTTTAAAAGATCTTTGAAATTAATGGCAGAGGTGGTGCTCCGGGGGGAGGGGGGGCGATCCAGTGCCCCCACCCCACCCCCACACTTGTCCCTTTTTACTTAGGAAAAGTGCCCCCTTTCCTTTGTATTAAAGAAGCGCCACTTTCCCCCTTCAAACATGTGCCCTTTTCTAGCTTTACAAAAAGTGTCCCTTTTCCGTTCTCACAAGTGCCCTTTTTCATCTCTGATAAGTACCCCTTACCACCTCTGATAATTGCCCCTATTCAAATCTGAGATGTACACGTTTTTTTGTTGACAAGTGCCCCTTTTCCTTGTTAAAAATTGCCCCTTTTTCTCCTGATAATTGCTCCTTTTCATCTTTGATGAGTGCTCTCTTTTAACTCCAATATTAGTGACCTTTTTCCTTTTGATAAATGCACCCCTTTACCCCTTGAAAATGTCCCTATCAAATGGTGTTAGCTGCCCCTTTTCCTTTATAATAAGTGTCCCTTTTCCATTCTCATAAATGCCAATTTTCATCTCTGGTGAGTGCCTTTTTTCATATTCGATAAATGCCCCTATTCACCTGTGATATTTGCCTTTTTTTTTATTACTTTGACACATGCCCCTATTCCTTTTTTATAAGTGCCCTTTTTCCCTCTTGATTAGTGTTCTTTTCCCTTTTTAATAAGGACCCCCCTCCTTTTTTCTAAAATGCCTCTTTTCGTATTTGATAAGTGCCCCTTTTATTTTGACACGTCCCCATTTTCCTTTTTGATAAGCACCCCATTCCTTTGGATAAGTGTCTATTTTCCTTTCTTTATTTGAGCCCCTTCCCCTTTCCATAAATGACCCTAATAAAATCTGATAGGTGCCCCTTTTCATTCGACAGATGTCCCTCTTCCATTCTCATAAGACTAGTGCCTATTATCATGTCTGGTGAGTGTACATTTTCACCTGTGATAATTGCCCTTTTTACTTTGCCACATGCACCTTTTCTTTTCTAACAAGTGTCCTTTTCCCTTCTGATAAGTGCCCCTTTTCTTTTCTCCATAGAAGGCGCCCCTTATTAAAGCGATTTAGAGCCCTTATTTCGTTCATTAATGCTCGCTCGCTCGCATTTATAGTTGATATAATTATGTTACTTATTAAAGGTCTTTTCAGTCGTTCATGATTAGATGGTGCTTTTTTCTCACTGTGACCTCATAAATCTTTAAAAAAATTCTCGCTCCCTTAGCTCGCTCGCAAATTCAGACCATCACACCCAACTGCAAGATATGAGGCTTAAAACAGTATCTTGGACTGTTTAAAAAGATTACAAAATTGATATCGTCTCTGATAATGTAATCACAATTATGACAATGTAGGGGTATATTTGTCTAAAAATGCTACATGTTCGCTTTGAGGTTTCCATTTGTAGGTGTCCTTTTTTTTCTCCAGAAAGTGCCCTTTTTTGGTGCCCCCCTACTTTGAAAGACACCCCTAACGTCCCTGGTTATAGGGGATGGCACAATGCACACCCCACCTTCGTTGAATGGGTGAGAGAGAGAGAGAGAGAGAGAGAGAGAGATAGAGAGAAAGAAAATAACGGAAATAATAGAGAAGATTCTGCTAGCTTGCTTTGCTTAAATTATTGTCACCCTAAAAACCTGTATATTTTTGTTTTAATCCTTTACCTTGATATTCTGATTCTTTCTAATATATGCCATGTCATAATATCGTTTATCTCGGATCTGGGGTATAATAACCCGGCGGCTTGGTGATATTGCAATCATATAGCTTCATCTCTCTCTCCCCCCCCCCCCTCATGCACACTCTCTCCCTCTCTCCTTTTCAGTATCTTTTCTCCTCTCCTACTCTCAATTGCTATCTCTCTACTTCTTCTCCTCCCCCATCTTTCTACCTCAAGCTCATATTCTTCACAACACTTTTTATTTGAAAACCTTCACTTTAATCTCTCTGTATTTACATTTATAGTTCAAGTTAAAAGATATGTACAACACAATCTGACAAAATGTCCACATAGTCATAATGCAAATTTACATTTCACGATAACATAATAAATCTCTCTATATATATGATAAAATATATATTATCAAGAATACTTCTTGGTTATTTGAACATATAGAGAAGAAACATTACAAGCAGTATAAGCATCGTCACCGATCCATAGTAAAAAATTAACTCACCATGCCGGAAATAACGTTTTGGGTCACTCTATCAGTGAAGAAGATTATCTCCGTGAAAGCAAATGAGAACCGCTACCTTAAAATTATTTTGCTATCTTCTAAATACGATCAATATCACGCTTTTAATTACCTTCTCACCGTTCATTACAGAGTTTCAATTCCTAGTCGCTATTACCCTTCACTCTAACTATATGGACTTGACCAACTTTATAGTTTCTGAGATACTATACAAACTCCACCTACATGTACAAGCATGTCGCTCGAAATTTCAAACGAAAAACGATTCTCCGTCTCAACCCCAACAAAATTATCGATTCTCTTGGACTCCAACAACAACAACAACAACAACAAAAAATCTTTCATTATACCCTTCATAATTTAAACCTTCCATCACCAGTCAAGCATACAACACTGTTATCTTATTCTAATTTCAATATAAAAATTATAGAAAATCCAGTAAATATAAGAAATGTTTTGTCTTTTTAATTTATCGAGTTATTAAAGTTGTTTTATATTAATAAGAACATTGCCATTAACTACAGTTCATTACAGTTCATTAGGAATATGACAAAAATAACAATCGTCATGTTAGATGTTATACGTCCTTGACCAGCCCTCGTTAGGAAATGATTGAGCTTGAAATGTTTCGTGCAAGAAAGCAACCAAGGTTCAAAGTGATTTCCCGAATTATTGTTTTCCGAGAACATGTAGTTGCCATGGTTTTCGCTTTCCAATCTCATGATGTGACAAGGGAAGACTATCATCGTTTAAGAATCTTATTCTGACATGCATTCGGCATCGCTTTGAGGTACTTCTTTACTACGATCTATCTGAAACGGAGTGGAATACCTTCTTGATTCGAATGGGTTAGTAAGTACGTCACTAGGCAGAGGACTAATGATGTATCGTTGGCCTATCATTGGTGCTTCTGAGGCAGCACCGCGATCACTGATCACGGCACCTCCACCGCGAGCCCAGCATAACCTCATCATGTCTTGAATGTCAGTGATGTCGGCTTTGGCGCGCGCCATTTCCTCTCGAGTATCTCTGAGTTCGTCCTGCAGCTCCTCAACGGCGCGTTCAAGACTGTTGACGCGTCGACATCGTCCATGCGGTCTCGCGGCGACGTCATCAACCTCTGGTAATATCGTTTCGCAAGGAATCTTCGTTTCCATGCAGATTCCTTCACAGGAATGGCTCTTTCCGATGTCTTTCAGCATGGCGGCCTTTCGCCTTGATACGTTCATCGGTTTCACCTTTGAGCCTGTGTTGGACGGCGTCACTGGGGCAGGACATGCGAACACGACCTCCGTTCCATCTACCTCGTCGCCGATGAATCGGACCTTTGCCGGTGATCCTTGGAAGGTGGAAGACGTTTTCTTCGGTACAGGTGCAGAGTTTATAACCCAGTCTTTCGTACGAGCTTGAGTGTCCAGTTGGCCAGGGCTGGACGTTTGGACAAGGTATTTCTCGACATCAAACCCGAAATTATGAGGAGGGTAACAGGGTGCTGCATTTGCTGCTGCACTCCTGTCTACACACGCGGCCGTACCTGAATGCTGTGGGGTGTTTTGAAGTAGCTCGGTTCGCATAGATCCCAACGGAGCAGGCCTTCTCTCATCCATATTCGGATCTTCACCTGAAAGTGAACGCAGGTAAGAATTGTAAACAAGAAATTGTGGAAGTTTGGGGACTGAGTAACCATCTAATTTATTTTTGTTTTAGCTCCCCGGGAATAGGGGAGACGTGACAGGCGACATACTTCCTCTTAGCATTTGTTGTTATGCTTGGCGAGGATAAAATCAGGGAAATTCCCTGAATCCGCAGGGTTATCACTGAAAGCAACACTTTTACGACACACAATGAAAAAGACAATTTATTTACACTCGCCCATTCAGTCAACCTGAACACGACAGCGAAGAAACACAAAGAAAATAATACTTGTTGATGCAATGTACTCATTTGTCTTTTAAGTATTGTTCTACTATTTCTTTTAATACCATGTTGTGTTTAAAAAAAAATCATATTACATTTTGTGATAATAAGTTCATATTTGAAGTATGGAAAATTATGCTAATGCAATCTAGACGAAGACAATAATGTGAATAATCATTACGGCCTCAAACTAATTAAAAACAGAAGGAGGTCATAGAGGCACAGAGACAGACAAATAAACTGCAATAGGAGGAAGAGCGAACGAAAGAGAGGGGAGAGAGAGAGAGAGAGAGAGAGGGAGAGAATAAGAGTGGGGGGGGGGGTCTTTTGAATATGATGACAGAAATTACAATTGCAGAGATGGGTTAAATCTAGGCCACAATGAAAGCACAACAAGTCTAGTTTTATCAAGGTCTAACTCGCAAAATAAATATAAAATGCTTTCTAGGCTAACGATCAACACATTCGTTTTCAATCAGCTATTTGCGAATGATTAATATACCACTGCGCCTATTCCAGAATAATCGTACGATTAGTAAATCATTAGTGTTTTATTATGCATTATTTTTTATTAATGAATGGTTGAGTATTTGGTTAGTGAATTGTTAGTATTCCATTAGCGGGTTTTTCGACTGCACTTGAAATATTGAAGTTTGAAATACTAGTACCTAACATTAAGGAATATAATATAAACAAAATATTCGGGCAACCATATAGGTGGGCAATACCTTTTTTCTTAATCTTGGTCATCTTGTAGCCAAATAGAAGAGTAAATAATTAACTCCACAAAATGAAATAATTTGTATACATGGCACTTAACAAAGATTTATGCATTCAATTTGATTACATTACGAAAATTGCCTATTGTCTCATGATGTTCAGGTAGTCCTTGTAATCATGCATGCATACCACATTGATACATGCAGGGAGAACGCACGGCAAGCAATTACTCTGAAGGAGTCGATCAAGCAAACCTATTTAGAAATCAATCAACAATCAATACATACATCTATCGGATGTCGGTTTTGGAAGGATGATACGCCATTAGGCAACCACTAAAAGGGAATTAAGAGAAAGGCCCTCTTAAAGAGCTCTCGTATTATACACTTCTTAGATTGCCCTTTCCCTTTTATAACCACGCCTTTCAGTGAGGTACAGGAAGGGTTTACACTGATAAGGCACATACCGTTCAAGTATATTCATGACTGATTGAAGTAGTCATATATGAATTACATAGAATGGCCCACTATAAAAGGGGAGTAATCAAACCTCTTTTAAACAGCTCTCATATAGATTACCATATCCCGTATGACCATGGCCTCTATATATACCGAAATCCTGTGAGGTGCAGGAAGGGTTTATGCTGATGAGGTACAGAATTCTAACGTATATCCATCACTGTCGGATTGTAGAGGTCATTTGCGAATTAAATAGAAAGGCCCACTATAAGAGGGAACTGATAATTATTACTAAATCAATGTCCGTTTAAACAGCTCTTATTTACTTCTTGAATTACCATATTCCGTTTAACCATGCTTTCTATGACAAGATTCCGGTGAGATACAGGAAGGGTTTAACGCGGATAAGGCTCATAAAGTACATTCGTGAATGATTGAAGTGGTCATATGAATTACATAGAATGGCCCACTATAAAAGGGAATAAATAGAAACCATTGCCCTCTTAAACAACTTTCATGATATAGATTACCCTATCCCGTATAAACATGGCTTCTACAAGATTCCGGTGAGATACAGGAAGGGTTTATGTTCATGAGGTACAGAATGTTAACGTACACTCATCACTACAGGGATTGTATTGGTCATTTACGAATTAAACGAAAGGCACATGCACTATAAGAGGGAATTAATGGAGATCAATCCCCTCTTAAAGGTAATATGTCCCATTAGAAGGCCAAAATAAATGAAAATGTTAAATTTCGACGGCATTTGAAAGATAATACTAATTTAGGACCTCCCTCAAAACGAAAGCGCTTGAAAATGTCTTTAAGTGGGAAAATAACGACCATTAGTTGTCGAATCAAAACCTCCTCGTACCAAGTTTGGCCTGATGCGCCAAATGTGGGTGAGGCCATAATCTATTCATGTGTTACTTTGGTTAAACTCTGTTTCATGATTCAATGTTTCATCGTTTATAAAGATCCAGAGTATCTAAGCTTCCACATGACCTAGTTTCAATCTACATTCTTACCTTGAATTATTTTAAACAGTCTACTAACTTCTTGCTTCATGATATCTTAAATCTCTCTGTTCATTTGTCCATTTCACCATTTCACATGCTTATGGTGCTAACTCTTGGTACAATTTGATTTTGACAACAATAATCGAAAAGGCTCCGGCCCAGTCATTCGTGACAGCAGAATGATGAATAAGGTATCATTAGACAGAATATTTGTTACTCTTGATATTGAAAAAAAAATTCAAGGTCATACAAGGTTTAACTTCTAAATGCGCATCTACTAAATGATGGGTTTACTCTTTCTCTTTTTGTGGGGATTCTCACTGACAGTCATGCGTGTGATGTAAGGTATATGGCGAGAGGTTCAAAAGGTTTACAAATTCTTCACGTAAGGTCAGCCCTACTGCTCTGGACCTACTTGGCATCTAAAACAAATACAAATTGCATGACCTTATGTGGCGGATACAGCAAATTTTAAATACATGTGGGTTCTAATTTGGCGGTAGCATGGCTGTTTTGTAGCTCTACCGCCCGTTTTTATGTTTACTTGATGGTTGTGGCGCATGTCTTTCAAACATGTGCCTACATGGTAGGAGCTAACGGTTAAGCTTTACCTGAAAACCTGACTGCGGTATTATATTACCACTTTTCATACCGCCATGACTTTAATATACAAGGAAATCCAATGAGATCCTACTGCAAGAGATCACACAAAAACTGCGAAAAATATGTATTAGATGTTCATTATTCATCCTTGATATCGCAGTGTTCATAATTTGCATTCAAAGAGCAGAGACAGAGGTGCCACTTCGTAATGCTCATGCAAACAAACTTTCACGGCGCAGAACATGTCGTCATCATATCATATTTCGATGGCGACTTCTTAGATGCATCTTGCTAATTATCTACGTGCTTTTATTGCTCATTGTTCTGAGCGAAAGAGACTGTGGTTGGGTTGAGTTGTTGTTTTCAAGATTACTTACAATTCTTCAAGATTGGGATTTATTTTCCATCAGCGACTAGTGAATTTTACAAATAGTAGTATAATCTACTTACTACATCTTAGTCGAGAGTGTCAAAAATTCTATTACCAATCGACATTTAATTCAGCGTCGACACTCAAACGCACGACCCTTGCATCTGTATAGTCCAAGATTAGTGTTGATTAGGATCAATGAATAACATCATGGTTCTCGTATAATGCAACTTGATGCAGAGGCCATTTCTATACCTGCTCTATTATTTCGAATAAAACTAGAATAAAACAAAATATTCGAATTCTTGGGCCCAGTATCGTCTGTTACAAGTCGATTGACAAGTCTAATTACGTTCAGATTTTAGATCGTGTCTCTCTGTGATATTCAGAAAGATAATTATTATCTGTCCTTCAAATGTAACCATTCTTGTTGCGTCAAACACCATAGTGAAAAAGTTACATTCCTAACCATAAAATACATTTTTTTTTTTTTTTTAAACAACAATGTCTCGGCGTTTACTTTCAATAACGTAGATGCAGATCTTCGTCTACAAAAACAAACTTTTCTTTTAACTGTTTAGGAGCTCCTTTCACAAGACATCAGTTAAGACTCTTGTAAGGCTTCATGCATCGTGTTTCGTGTATATTGCCATGATACTAAACGAAGCCCATATCAGGTATCCTATATAAGGGAGATTATATAGCTAATGGCTTGTTTACAACGGCTGGATAAGAGCACTGTTGACGAGGAAATAATTGTGATATTTGGTGGTTTCTGAAATAATATTACTTAAAATATTTAAAATACTTAAAATAACAGTAAACCTAAACATTTCAGCAAATGCTTGTCATATCATTGACATTTTGTTGGTCTATGAAACGATTCATATTTTGGATCATTATTGAAAATTTAGAATGAATTTAAGGCGAAAATCTTTTAAGTTATTAATGTGCTATCAGATTAAGTTAAACAGAGTTATTTATTTAATCGAGTTATTACGAGAACTGCTACATAAGCTAAGTGTAAGTGCACTAGGAAGAGATTAGATTCAGTAAAAACAAAATTGGTTATATCTTTGCGATCACTTCTTAAAACATATTGTTTTCTTCAAGTGCTTGAAACACTGAAATACCCGACTTGATTTTTAATAGGAATCTCGTTTTAGTGTAACTTTAAAATACAAAATGTCGACATTCAGAACTGATTGCAGAGAATAAAGATTCCGTAGTTATTTTTGGAAGTCCTGATAATTGATAAAGAGGAACCGGCTAATCGATACAAGCGTTTACATCATTAACATAATTATCTATCAGGGCTAGCAAAGGTCACCTGTATATTTCTTGTGTATGTGACTACGTCGGAAATTGGACCGATTTTGTAAAAGGATTCCGTGCTCATTGTTGCGTAGTCGGCAATCAAGGTGGTATATAATTCCATTAGTAACTGCTAAAGGTTAACGGAAATTGCGATTTCGTCATTTTGCTCCGCGACCTCCATTCTATAATGTATAGTGCATGTATCACCGCAAGA